TTGCCGGACACGGAAAAAAAAAAAAAAAAAAAAAAAAAAAAAGATATATGAAATACAATAATAAAAAGTATAAGGTACTTTGATTCTGTCATTTTTTAAAACCATATACATTCAAGTACAATGATTTGTATGGAACTGGTAACTAGAATCTAGATGGTAGTGGTGATTTGTCTAATGCTATGTGGTAAATGTGTCCCCCAAAAGTTCATTCATGTGTTGGAAACTTGATCCCCATTATAACAGTGTTAAGAGGGTGGGAAACCCAATTATGTCATTTGAAAGGTGGGTCCTATAAGAGGTGATTAGATTGTGAAGATTCTGTCCTAATGAATAGAATAACCCATTCATGAACTAATGGGTTAATGGTTTAGTGGGTCACCATGGATGCAGAGTGGTGGCTTAATAAGGAGAGCACATGAAAGAGTTCTTGCTATGCTCACCATGCGATACCCTGTGTTGCCACAGGACCCTGTGGATTTTCCACCCAGAAGGCCATCATCAGAAGTGCCTCCTGGACTTTGGACTTCCCAACCTATGAAACTATAAGAAACAAATTTTGTTTCTTTATAAATTACCCAGTTTCAGGTATTCTGTCATAAATGACAGAAATGAACTAATATACCTAAGATTATTATAATGCTGTCAGTTCATAAGTTTGCAAAGAGGTGAAATTAGCTTCTTAAATAAAGGAGAATTGAGTTCAGAAATATTAGCAACCCATCAGTCTTTAGTCAACTAAATTTATAAAGTATAAATCTTATATGAAATTTTTAGAATATTATCATCATCTCAGTTAATATTTATGGAACACGTACTACATGGCAATACTAGGCTAAAAATTTTTAATAATATATCTCATTTCATCCTTCATCTTTCATTAGACCTTAATCCTTACTTAGTATCTGTGAAAAAGATATTATCTTTAATTTTGGAAATGATCAGACTCAAATTCAAAGAAATTATGTGATTTTCTCAACATCATACAATTATTAAGTATTAATATTACACAAAGTATTTTCTCTTTAATAAAAATCTTTGATAAAATGTACACTAAAAACAATTTAAGTGGGTTCTTTCCTACAACTTTAATTGTTCTCAGTTAAATTTAATAGGCATTTATTGGATAATTTCACAAACCTATTATAGATGAATTAGGGTAAAGGAACCTAACAAATGTTTTATTTAAAAAGTATACAGGGACTGGCCAGTTAACTCAGTTGGTTAAAGTGTGGTGCTGATAACCTCAGGGTCCAGGGTTCAATCTCTGTGATAGCATATGAACCAAACCCTTACCTTAAGCCACACTGTTGGTCTTTCTGAAGTGGCCAGCCCCCAAGCTAAATTACATTGCTAGACTATCCAGTAGGACCTAAGGTCTCCAGGCAAACAAAGATCCTCCTATCAGGCATAACATTCCCAAGGCACAGAGATTACTCCCAGAAGCCAAGGACAAAGGCCAGACTTTCTCTTTGGCCAAGAGATTCTTTTCTATAAATTCTTTACTACACATCTACTATATTTGTCTTAGAAAGTATCCAAATTTTTATTTAGTATCCAGAAATGGTCAAAAGACCGTGATTCCCACCCCCATCTTCTATCCTGTCTGGAGAAGGGAGCTTTGTTTTTCCCTTGTCTATCCCATGAGGACTTGGAGAAATGTCTGTATTCTTCATCCTTGCTATCGTCCCTTCTACACCTTCATTTTTCCTCTTCCTTAAGAAAAGTCACTTCTTATCAGGTT